TACTATACACATTCTAGTGTATACCAAAATACATGGACAAACACATGCATCACAATCATGTAAACACAATTCTTCTGTTCTGATCTTATTCTATCTATATTTTAACATTTGAGAAATAAATTTGAAGATACTACACCAATATGTACATGTATCGTTGTGATATCCATGTGGTTAAACATTTGAAACTTCCACAATCAATAGACGTGCTAATATACCTGGATTGTTCACATCAGTGCAATCTGAATATCTATCAATAAAAGTTACTCCCTCCGTCCCATAATATAAAACAATTTTGCAAGCTACACAGGGAGTATTACCTGATATATTGTTATTTTCTTTAGTTTTGTTAACAATGCAACCAATCTTACATCATGCGAAGAATTATGAAGGACTAATAGATTAGAAAATGAGGATAATGCTAGTATGCTCTATGTTATCAAGAATTTTTGCCTCTTCAGCTTACATGAGCTTGAGGGCCCTGGTGTCATTGACCTCTTTTGCATATTCTTCCTGAAATAGCACAACAATACGGCAGACACAATAAACTGAGCATTGTAAGTGCCTCTTATTCCTTCCATCAAGATATTAAGGACTGTTCAACTGCTTGTGCACTGATGTACATATTTATCAGCATTACATCAGTTTTCGAACTGCTGGATGCCTATGACAACTACAATCTACTATGCCTTGCCATAAAAAGGAACACTATGAACGACACTTAGCCTTGCCATCCAGCAGTTGTAGATTGTAGTACACACTATACATCATAGTTGAACAGGCTTTTAGACTTTTTGTACAATCACAAAGTTGCAGGCATCTAAAAAATCACCAAAGTATGTAAGAGGCGAAACTGCACAAAAATAACATTAAAAATAATAATTCATTTGGTTCGATACTTACAACTGCTACATCACAAGCATCTCATAGTGTGTCAGCTGAAAAAAAATCCATCTGCCATCACGCATACAACAGCAGTCAAAAGCCAAGCCAAATATTCTATTTCAAAATAGAGGCAAGCAAATAAATTTGTGCAAAAAAACGACCAATAGAGCCAAAGGCAAACCAAGGGAGGGACAAATAAATAGGATAGTACAGTCTATCTTCTATCAACAATACAAATAGAATATTTACAAATCAACAATAATCAGTTATATGAACATGTAGAACGAACAGTTAGCATTATGTTATGTACCGCTTAAGAATCGTGAAATAATTAATTTGGCTCGCCGCTTAGCACGGTTTCAGACAGAACGAACCCTAAAATCACTGCTTGTGAAGATTTATGCACAACTATGAGGTAAGTAAGGGTAGTATTGCCCCTAAAAAGAGGATAGTAATGATCTGCAAAAACATGATTCAGACAGCAAAGCAACCCAAAAATCAACTAAGTAGTTATCAGTTATCACACTGTTATGGCTATAGAGCAGCAAGCATCTAAAGGACAAGGGTAAGGCATTCACTCTTGTCTAGCCAGTGATAGGACTCAATTCGCTAACAAGGTATATTAACAATATTTCCTCAAACATCAGTGTAGTTACCTCGATCTTCCTTACCTCTGCTTTTGGGTATTCTTAGGGGTTAATACCTATTCAACTTCTGTGGGTAAATCTTGTCACCGACGGCCCACCTGCAACTACTTTTGTGGGTTTTTTCCATTATGCGGGCAGAAGAAAAATATATACATGGTCATTCCGCCGGTAGAGCTGAGGCACGGTGGCTACACACAAACGTTGCTACGGATCTCAGTGCAGGATACTTAGCGGTGATTTAATAGATGATGCAGCATAGAACAGACATCTAGAAGGTTTAACTAAGATAACTGGCAATCTAACAAGAGTATTTTTTGCAGTTCGTTCAGAACTCTACTTAGAACTATTGATATTAAGGTCTCCAGGACAAACTATAATTCATGTCAGTTACCTATCAAGAACAATCTATCCGTGAAATGAGAAGCACCTATATAGAACAACTTTTTTTTCATTGAGGCTATCACAGTACAAAAACTATGGGAAGAAATAGGAGCTTGCAGCTGACCAGAAAGCAGCAGCTTCACCGGGGAAATTAGTTGTGCACACGTGGGAAATCTGAAAATATGGACTGTTAGCAAACACCCTGAACAGAATAGCTTGTCTGAGCTTCACATTTATGGAAGTACAGATGACATAATAAATAATTTTGCTACTAACTCTCCACAGGAGAAGATATTCATGAACCAGCTGCCCAAATCAAGACTGGATAAACAAGAAAGCATCCATAATCTAGAAAAATCAGATCAGATTAGATCGTACTGATAATCACATCCGGGGAAAACAAGAATGCTTTTTCTTCTGAAGAAGAACCACCTCTCCTTTTTATGCAAGATAAAAAAACCATCACAAATGTGCGAGTTCCATATTAATTAATCAACGTTCAAGATAATTAATTAAGGACCAGATGAACAATGAATAAAATCAAATGAAGGCACGTGGATGGTACTTACGTAGATGCACATGCATGGATCCGATGTGGGAACGATCTAGCTGCTGGAGATGGGGGAAGACGATGGACAGGAAAACATATTGGAGAGATGCGGGGACGACTCCTACGACCCCTTCTCCGTCTCTCAGCCGCCTACAGGGCACGATGCGCTGTGCCACAGCGGGGCGGGGTGCGGATGATCGACCGAAGCAGTGGCGGGATCACAGTGCTGCGGGGGAGGATGAACATGGCTTGGCCTGCTAAGGGAGCACAGCGGCCGACCGTCATGCGGGACGGGACAAAGGTTGGGGAAGGGATTACTATGGAGGGTGGAGGTGGTGGGTGGCGCGATGCAGGGCACGACAGACACAGCCTTGCGCTGCTCCTCGTTGCCTGCAATGTGACCACGCCCTACCTTGGCGTTCCGCGATGGCGGCGCGGCGGCGGTCTCGTAGATTGGCAGAGGAGCAAGACGTGTGTGGCGAGGCTAGGAACCCTGGGGTTCCGCGATGGAAGCGGTGGCGGCGGTCTCGTAGGAGTTGGACCGAGGAAGGAGTTGGATCGAGATGGGTGATGCCGCCGACGGCGGCGGCGGTCTCGTAGGAGTTGGACCGAGGAAGGAGTTGGATCGAGATGGGTGATGCCGCCGACGGCGGCGGCGGTCTCGTAGGAGTTGAACCGATGGGGCTGCGACCTAAATCGATAGGAGTGCTTTTTTGCGGAGTGTTTTTTCTGGCTACGTGCGTGGGTGGCTGGAGGAGTGGAGGGGACGAAAAAACCGACGAAAGAAAATCGGACGAAAATGGTGGGACGAAAATAAAACCTGGAATGCGACCTACCAACTGAGACATTAGGAATAGAGATGAGTATGCGGGTTATATACTTTGTATGGTGAAAATAAGGCATGCCATGGAAATGTTAGCACTATGCATGATATATTTCCTAGTTACGCACCATGCTGTAATGGCATAATAATTTGTTTGCTTATTCGTATAAAGGTAAAAGTCCATATTAACCCTACAGGTTTGTCGTCCTTATGTTAGAGCATCTATAGGCAGACTTAGCAAATCTGGCCCCTAAACGATCGCGGACACGCCCTATCAAAAACCGGACAAGTCCATTTTGAACCCTTATATTTGTCCATCCATGCAGCCATACTCCTCATTTCCCCTCTTATATGTCCTGTCACTTGCACGTGATTGATGAAGTGAAGATAGAGAAAAAAAAGAATGAATAAAGAAAGAAAGTGAAAAGGTTGTCCGGGGTGGACCACGTCCTACATGGCGGACTGACCAGGCGCTTCCGCGGTCCCTCATATCCTCTCTACAATTTTCTCAATATGAAGGTTCGCGGACAACCCACACGTATAGGGATGATATAAGGGGTTCGGTGGGTCGCTTTTTTTTCTTCTCTCTCCTATCAGGTCACTGACTAGGCGCGTCCGTGAACGTTTAAGGAGGATTTGAGGACACCGGTTGTAGATACTCTTACCTTACAAGAGGTAATACTAATGGAGATAATCCTAAAATTTTCTTGTTTCTTTATGTGAAAATTGTGTGTTTTTTTGTCGTCTGTATCTTAACTCACATGAGTATGCGGGTTATATACTTTGCTTGCTTTTTTGCATGTTATATGTTCCTCTTGTGTCAAGCGGCGAATAAAGGTTCAGGCACCGGCACTATTGTTCATTGTGCTCGGGAAGGTAATGCAGCAGCGCATGGGCTTGCTTGGGCTAGTTACAGAGGAAATTTTTCTAGAGAGTGGCGAGATAAACCTCCTGATTTCTTACTCCCCTTCCTTGTAACTGCTATGATTATTGTTTAATAAAGGTTGCCGAATCTAAAAAAAAAGTTCAGGCACCGGCACTTGCTGAAGACACACAACAGAATCTATAACTGCCAAAAACATACATGTTCACATGCATGAACAATGCAGTAGAAATGTACAGATTAAGTGACATATTTTTTCAGGAAAAGTGGCATAAATTAGTGAAATGCTAGCTTTTTAGCACGGTAGAAGCAAGCTAAGACTTGCTAAATGGGTGCCAAAATTTTCAATACATACAAATGAGTTCGAATTGCCAAAATGTGTTGCTTACATAGTACCAATTAAAAAGATCTCCCTTTTTTTTGAACTCGATTAAAATGATCTCTAATTTTGAAGGACGTGCAGATTAAAATGCAAGAGCAATAATTTTTTGGTAAGGCTTATGTGCATGAACGGTTCAAACTTATTTCTGGTGTTTGTTTGGTTGTTCAAGTTTCACGGCAAGCGTGAAAAAATGGCGCGAAGCTCACACCGAATAATAAACCGACCAATACATGAACTAAAACTACAAGAGCTGAAAAACACCAAAACCTAAACAATAGTGAGATCTGTATATACATAACAGCAATCTAAGAGATGCATATTATTTATTATCCTTTGGACCAGTAGGATCAAGCTTACAAAACACATCCAAATCTCTTTGAACAAAGCATCGAGGGAACATAACATAATATCTAGAAAATTCTAGATAAGTAAAACATAGATTAATTGATGTCTTAAAAACCTTCTTCGGAAGAACCATCCTCGTCATCCTCTTCGTTTTGTGGTGGATCTGACTCCACCAACTCCTCTGAAGCCACATTCTCCACATTACCCTTCATCACAGGATAAGCAACATCAATGGTGCCCTCACGAGTGCACATGCCACATTCTTGCTTCACGAATGACTGTGTAGCATATGAACTGTTGAAGAATGCCCAACGCTTAACACATAAATTTGCAAAAACCAAAGAGGCAACCATGAGGGCGGCAATGATGATCAAAGTCACGATCAATGGTACGTAAGGGTCGATTGAAACGGACGAATCACCACCTCCTGTTGACCCATATGGTGTGACCAACAATGGTGGTGGTGGTGGTGGTGGTGATAAGAGTGACATCTCTAGTCGCTCACTAGTTTCTACTCCTAGATAAGAACCTCCAAGAAAAACTTGTGCTATATTTGGTGACTTTGTGTGCGTTGAGGTGTCTTTCTCCACAGGCTTTAAAAGGAGACATAGGGGCAAAATAGGACTTTTAATAACATGTTTGTTAGAAAATTTTCCTAGGCCATTGTCACCCACTTTTCACTTTACGTGCCGTTTGAGAAGTGATGTAAATTGTCTCATAGCACTCAGTTGCAAACTTTTAAAAAGAGGACACTAAGAGTTCCTATATAGAGTCAGTTACAGCTCGAATCTATATCTTTTAGAGTGTACACCTTTCTTTTCTCAAGTTTATCATGAGAAATATGCACAACCTTCCAAATAAAAGCATGTCGCCTAGCTGGCCAAATGTATATCTTCAAGCTTTTGCTCTGCTTTAGATTGGTAGAAAGTATATTGTTATCATTGGATCACGCATGCTCTCATATGGCCTCTCTTTATTAGATTTCAAAGTGTTGGATCCTTTTTAGTGGAACCAACTGTGTAATTTTCGGCTGGTAGCCGCGCGGCTACCCGTGCCCCACATTGTTAGCACCCCTGACGCCCCGCCGGTAGCAGCTCGCACCCCCTCCCCCTGTCGTTGTCGCCCTCGTTTGTCTCTAGCATCCCTTGCTGTCGCATCACAGTGCAACCCATTGCCGGGTCGAGGCAAAAATTTGTGCCTCCAGGTTGCAGTGTTGTGTCGTTGATCACGCGTGTCGCCGTTATTCCTCGATTATAGCTTCTTATCCACCCTATCGCAACTTTTTTGTGTCGTTGATTCCAGGAAAATCGCGGCGACAACACAACCCATTCTCCACTGTCGCAATAAATGCCCTGGCTGGTTCCAACTTTTTGTGTCGCTGGTTATAGATTTTGTGCCGCTGGTTCCAGCATTGACGGCAACTGGCGGTTGTAGCTCCGCCTGCCTCCGGTTGTAGCACCGCCCCATGCCGGTTGCAGCTCACCGGCTGCCGGTTGTAGCACGGCCCCATGCCGGTTGTAGCTTGTTGTTGTATCATCGCCCTCTATCGGTTGCAAATCGTCGGTCGCCGGTTGTAGCATTGCCATATGACGGTTGCAGCTCGCCGACCGCCCTTTGCAGTACCGCCCCGTGCCGGTTCCACCACGCTGGCCGCCGGTTGTAGCACCGCCCGATGTCAATTGCAGCTCACTGGCCGTCGGTTGTAGCACCGACGATGGTTGGTTCCAGCATCAATGATGGCCGATTCCAGCACGCCATCGCACCGGGGTTGCAGCAGGTCGCCACGCTTGTTACAGCCCTCCTGTCGCTCGCCTCGCAACTCGCCATGGCCTCGCAACGGCACTCTCAACAGCATAGGGGGTGGCGGCGGTCGAGCGTTTGCAGCATCCCTTCGCTCCTCGGGTGCGAGGACCTTGAATCCAACGACGGTCTGCCTCTCGCACACCATCGGCAAATATGAGTGGTAGGAGAGAGGCGCATGGTTGGGTGCGGCTATGGAGAGGACCGCAAGGGGGGAGGGGGTGTGAGATGTGCAGTGTTCTCTGTCGAGAGAGAAAAAGGATAAGGAAAGAGAGAGCAACCAGCCGAAAGCCTGGCCGATCGGGCGTACTTAATTGTTTACCATACCTTTTTTTTAGACAAAATCGTTTACCATACATTTTCCGTTACATTTGCCTCACCCGTTGGCCTCGTTAGGCATTTTCTTGATAATGAAGAAAGTGGGCCGATGTTACAGCCTCATGGGCTTGTCGGGGGCATACACCCCACCGGAACGGCTATATAAAGAAAAATTCTCAAAAAAAAGGCTATATAAAGAAAAAGAATCTTCTGAAATATAAAGAAAAAGGAAATATTTCTCAAAAAAGAAACATAAAGAAAGATAAACTGGAAAATCTCTTCATGTTTTGTGTGCTGTGTGCACCCTCGCAATATCTGTACTACGTACATGAGAATCACACGAATAAATTCATAATCCAGGCTTGTGGAGGATCACGGGTGGACGTGCCGAAGAAGAAGCTAATTAATTAGGTCTGATATTCGCTTGTTATGCCATGGTCCGTATCATTCTTTTAAATGATTATTATTCTTACATAGATTTCATCATAAGTGTAAGAAAAAGCAACAACGATCCAGCAATATATTTTGGTTGGAACCAACGTTTTCTGGAAAACTAAAAATAAACCAACAGAAAAGATAAACCTTTCTCAGCAATCTATCAAGCTAGGTGGTGGCTATAAGAATAACACGAGGATTTGTGAAGCAAAATTGAAACGAGAAGTATCTGTTGGTTTGCAATCTCCAACTCCAGTCATATAACGAATCACTCGTACGTATGCACAGCTTCAACCAAAACTTACACTATTGCACTTGACCCACAAAGCATGAACCAAAAGTACGCATCTACCGGACTACGGCGTACGTGTTCGGCCGTCACGCGGCGCCGGCGCCGATGCAGGCGAAGGCGCGGACGCTCCTGGCCTTGGGCAACGGCATCCGCCGGCCCGGCGAGAGCCCCACCTGGCCGGCCAGCTCCTCCAGCGACCGGTTCCGCCCGTGCGCCTGCGCCGACGCCGGGGCGGCGGCGGCGCGGAGCGGCGACCGCAGCTCCTGCTCCAGCCAGCGCCGCCTCTGGTCCGTGTCGCCGAGGTCCACGTCGTCCTCCACGTCCGCGCCCCGGTAGGCGGCGGCCCGGCTGCCGCTCCGGCGGTGCTCCTTGATGGCCTTGTAGATGAAGGGGATGAGGCCTTCCACCCGTGAGCTGCCCATGATCGCGAGAGGTGAGAGGGGTTGGTGAGGAACGATGGGTGTGTGTGGGCGGGTTCGGTTCAGCCTACTCTTGACCTCTCAGCCTCTCGGCTCTCGGGGCCGGGAGATTGGTTGGGTGGGCCATTTTATACCGACCGACCGAGCTCCTCCATCCTCAGTCCCACGCGGTTTTTTTTTTAGGGTGTCCCACGCGGATTGAAATGGTAAGCAATTAGTAGTAGTTGCACTTGCACCTTGCACGCCAATTGGAGGGAAAGAAATAGAAGGTCATCAATTCAGGCGGACGGCGCAGATCACATACATAGCATTTCTGCGTCGATCAAGACCGTCAGTTGCATGCTATTTTTTTCCAATGAATGATCTCCTAAAATAGGCTAAAATACGCACGTGTCGCCTTCTCACAACCAACGCTAATGGCAAATTCAATCCTATCCTAATACACAGCGTTATCTGTCGTCACATCACATCAACACATCGCGAGCGAAGCCCGAGTCTTTTGCGTGCGACGCCTTGCCTCTGGGTTATTTTACGGTTCGATGATGTTGCGATTTGGCGATATACACGTTTTCTAATGGCTGTGGCTTCTTAGGTATAGCAGCTGCTGAAAGTTTCGTCCGGGGTAGGAATTTGGACGGACGACTTTTGCTTTCAGATGACGTCTTGGGATTGGCCGATAACATGTCCGTTGCTTGCCGTGGCAGGTTACAGCGCACTATAAGCAGTGACCCCCCTTCTTCCCCCTTGATTAGCTGGTTAGCCGCCTACCATTACAAAACGAACTGGTCGTCAACTGAAAGTATACTGCACATGGTGGACGGAAAGAATGTTTCATGGTTGAAGGGTTACAGATGCTGACGGTATATTCTTACCCGACGGGTGGTGCCAGATGCTAAGAGCAACTCCAATGGGGCGATCCAAATAGACGGCGTATTTGTCCGCTTTTTGTCCATTTGGGTCAGCCGCCTGTTCGGCGTCCGCCCAGTTTTATATTTGGGTCGGCAATGTGCCCAACGCGCCGACCCATTTCATGTCCACATTCAACTTTTGAATTAAAAAAGGCTCGCGGCCGATCATGCCAGCGGCCATGTCTCATGCCGGCACTATGCCAGCACCGGCATACAATGTCGGTTTTAGAAAATACCATAGCTCCTGCTGGCGCACTCGCTCGCCAGCCGGCCGGCACACATGCCAGCATGCAAAAAATGGTGGGACTTGGAGTTCGACCACGCCACCGCGGCTCCCGTGGTCATGCCGGCACACCTGCCGGCATACAAAAAGATGGCCCTCGACGCCAAGATCAGTCGTCCTGAAACTTGAGCATGTCGGCCTGCATCTTCTCGAACCACGGCCTTTTCCTTGGCGACAAGGCGTTGAGATCCACCTTCATGATCTCCACCCCGGTCATCATGCTTGCAAGAGCCACTTCTTTCGCCTTTGTCTTGGCGTTGGCGGCCTCGATCTCTAGCATCTTCGCTTGCTTCTCGGCCTCGAGCTCGAACATCTTGGCTTGCTTCTCGGCGTGAAGCTCAAGCCTCCTCCTTTGGATCTCCATGAAAGCGCTCATTTGCTCTTCTTTGAAACGCCGGCACTCCTCCTCCCTTGAGTCCTTCTTATTCATCATGCCGTCCACGCTTGCGATCAAGGCGTTGGTGGCCGCATCTCGCTTGTCCTCCTTCTTGGAGTTGGTCTTCCCCCGCGGTCGTGCCGGCTCGCCCTCCCCAACATCCTCCACGGCGCCCTTCCCCCCACGTGCCTTGAGCGCGGCATATTGTGCCTTGAACTTCTCTTCGTCCTTGATGACACGATAGCAATGGGAGAGGTTGAAGCACTTGCCATTGTGTTGAACCTTGAATGCCTCCAAAGCTTGAAATGCCTACAAAATGTTTCCATGCAAGCATATGGGCAAGTGATAGCAAATGAAGACGTAAAAAAATGATCTTGATGGCACAAAAGAGGCCGACTTGCTTGCTATCATACCATGTCTTGCACGCCGATGCCGCTCACGGGGCGAGTCTTGACGCTCTCAAGGGTGGAACAAAACTTGTTGCACTCTAGTTGGATTACCCTCCACCGCTTGGAAATGGAGACCCACCCGCGCGTGCTCACAAATGGTAGGGTGGAAACTTCTTGCGCTCATGAAACTCGTGGTGCACACCAGTCCAAAAGGTTGAATGCTTTTGCTCGGCGCCCGTCTTTGGGTCTTGTCCAATGTCTCGCCAACACTCGCATAGAAGCTTGTCCTCGGCAGCTGTGTACGCCTTCGTGTGTTTGCTCTTGCACTTCGGCTTCGGCCCGGCGGCTTGGTTGGCGAGCTCGTCGAACAAAGGCTCCACTTCGATGTCGCACTCGTCCTTTTCCTCTAGCCCATAGTCGTCCGGGAACTCATGGTCGAGGGGGAAGCCGTCCAGGTCGACGCCGACCTGATCACGCATGAAGGCCGCCTGAACGGGATCATAGCCAGCGGCCGGCGTGAACGCCCCGCGGCCGTCCTGGCTTTGCGTCTCCTCGGGATCGTAGCCAGCGCCCGGCGCACCACCCTCGAAGATGAGGTGTTGCATGTAGTCCTCGTCGACGACGGACGGCATTTCCTCGAACAGGTTGCGGGCGTCCGGGAGACCGCCGGCCGGCGTCTGTCGCGTGCGTTTCCTCGCGCCGCCGAACGACGAGCCACCGACCACCGGGATGGCGTTGAGGTCGATGGGCGTGGGCGCGGGTGTGGAAGGCGCGACCACGCTCACGTCGGGTGAGCACTCCCCGGAGAGGCGGGAGGCCTGCGGGTAGACGTGGAAGCCGGGGACCGGGTTGCAAGCCGATGCGCGGGGTGAGTCGGGCATCACCATCCGAGGAAATGCCGACGAGCCGGTGCTGGCCGCGGCGACGACGGCTTGGACGAGGTGGTGCTGCCTAGGGTTTACCCCAAGCATGTAAAGCGCCTCCCTCGTTGCAGCGCGACGCGGGCGTGGGTGAACTCCTGCTGCACGGCGGCGGCAGCGGCCTCATCCCTCGCGTCTGCGGCGTGCCTCCGGCCCTTCCTCTTGGCCGACTTCCTTGCCCGTTGTTCGGGCGTCAGCGCCTTCTTCGGCTTGATCGCCGCGGCGGTCTTGCGCGGGCACGAGGCTTGCCTTTCCCGGAGGGGGCGACGGCGCCGGACGAGGTGAAGGAGGCGAGGCCGCCGGCGGCGTCGAGGTCGAGGTCGATGGCGTCCTTCATCGCTGGTTGGGGGCGGGGGGCGCGCGCTGGCGGGAGCGTTTTTGGGAAAATGGGGGGAAATGGTTGTGGCTGGCACCGACAGGCGGGTCCGGGAAAAGGAGTAGGCGCGCGGGCGTCCATCTCGTGTCCGCACCGACGCAAATCCGGCTAAAAAATGAGCCTGGAATGGGTCGCCCACGGACGAAAAACGGACGCGCGTCCGTTTGAGTCGGCGCGTTGGGCCGCCACTTTTGTCCGTGCCGACCCAAACGAACGCGGGCGGACGAAATAGGTCGCCTCATTGAAGTTGCTCTAATAATGTATCACAATATGTTTTCGCGTCTTTCTTGAAATGAAGAATGTTTCAGGGAAGGACTACAGTACACATGATAGAGACTAGAGAGGCTAACAGCACCGGTGAGATTAACTCTTTTGAATCAAGTAGATTATTTACGATTGATTGTTTTGTTTTGATTTTATTTGTGCTAGCTTGTGTTTTAACTATGTTCTGAAAGTGTTTTTTCGTTCGTACATCGTGTCGGGTTGCTGTCGGAGACGATAGAGAGTAGAGTTGTTTGGCGCATAATGGTTTAATTATACAATGTTTGAACCACGTCTAGTTGGCAACGCCCAACAAGATTACAACAGCTAATCACTTTTTACCATTTCATTTATTCCCACTTGATTATTTGGAAGAGGATTCCGCGTTCTATCATGAAATGGCTATTGTCAGACTTCTGTTGCGCCCGCACTTCTCTTTCCTGCCCTAGTCAAAAAGGTCTGCTAATTATCTTGCCCTGCTTTATACTTCATATGTTTCTAAATATAAGTCTTTTTAGAGATTTCAATGGATACATGTAGTATATAGACATAGTTTAGAGTGTAGATTCACTAATTTTGCTCTGTATGTAGTTTATATTAAAATCTCTAAAAATACTTATATTTAGGATAGAAAGCAAAGGATAGTCTCCTTTCATCGTGTACAAAATCGGCCGAGGTGAGTAGGTGACTGATTTACTGCTTGGTTGCACTTCAAATTTACTGTCGACGCAAAACCAACCGTGCAAATGAAAATCATCATCTACCAAAATGAAAAATCAACATTGCAAAAGAAAAGAGTGCCCTAACTCTGGGTTCGCTGCTTTGTTTGTCAATTCCAAAATGAAGGATAGACTGCCTTCATAATCATTGCCGCACTAGATTGGAAACTGAAAAGTGAAGAAAAATAAGGTACTAGACTGAGTGAAACTGAATGACCATAGCTATATATACTCAAATATGATATATGTGAAAATACTGAGAATAAGGCCGTCACCATGCAAGCTCACAACTGAATAAAAAGAAACTGAATAATGAAAAAATTGACTGTAAAATAAGACAAATATAAATAAACTCTCGGTATTGATAGACTGAACAACGATACAAGCTCACAGACTAAGTAGGAACAGAAGCCATGGAGAAACTGTAAGCAAACAACACATAGCTTCCAAACCTTCTTGTGATCTCAGTACACACACCTAACATAAACATAGGACGCACAAGAAATGCACCTGAGCAAAGCACCAACACATCAGATTAGCTAACCAAATGTCTTAAACTAGTCACACTGCACTCCAATTCCACACACTGTTTGGGCAGCTGAGCTAAGGAGTCTAGTACTCTAGTCCTCACCGGAGTAGTCAGATTCGCTCGGCTCCGATGCATCTTCATCCTCGGACTCCTCATCGTCGCTACTGGAATCCATGTAGACTGTTATCACCTTCCGCTCCCAAAATCGATGTAGACTGTTGTCATCTAGTACTATACATGTACTATGTACTATACGGAAGGTGACAACGGTCTACATAGATCATTATATAAACCTAGCAAGATGGAATCTAATTTTGTAGAGCTCGACACGGGGAATCCAACGGTGAAAACGGTTCAAGATTTGAACTCACGGTTTAAGAGATAAAACTTTTGAATAAACAGATCTACGAAAAAAAAAAATTACAGGTTACGACAAGTGACACACCTGGGAAGTTGGGAATAAACTTTGCAAAGAGTGTTCCCTAATTAGTGATTTCTGTCGTGTCCAGCAAGCGGCACGCTAGGGGTCGTGCCTGGGCCTGGAAGCGAGGCATACGGGCTCGGCATGGCACGACCTGTTATTATTATTATTATTATTATTATATATGACCTAAAACAACCCAATAAACCTAAAAATATAGCACAACAGGCTAAACAGCATGCGGCCCAGACATGCCACGGCCGGCAGCCCATTTACTAAATGTGTTGCGCCAAGGCCAACCCATTTACTAAATGTGTTGTGCCAGGGAGCAAGGCACGCGGGTCGGCACGACACGACCTATGTAGTAAACGTGCATGTGTGGGCCGTGTCATGCCAGGCACGATTAGCACGGCCCAGGGAGTGTCGTGTCGTGCTGGCCCATTTGGCCAGCTCTGCGCGAGCCCGATGCATCTGGGTTCGGGTTTAGGGTCCTTAGGGCCTTGTTTAGTCAAGGATTAATCCATGTGGATTAGCCCGAGCCACCCGGGCCATCCTAGGCAGACTGTTGCACGTGGATTGAAATTTAGCTATTTGGTTTGGATTAAGGCGGGGAAAGCCCGGGACCTCGGATCGAACCTAGCACCTCCCGGTGGTGAACCTCGTCGCTTGCCATTGGATGTTCCTGAGCTTTGGTGTCGATATAGGTAGCGCGGTGTATATGAACTACAAGTTGTGACAGATATAAACATTTCCTTGCAATTTTAAATGTGATTTTCTTAAAACAAAAATATTTTTGAAAGCTAAACATTTTAAAATTTGTGATTTCTTTAAAAGAAACTAAAAAATAAAAAATAGGAAAAACAATTGAAATTACGAACAATATTTTGAAAACACGGATATTTTCTGGAATTCCCCAAACAATTTATGAATTTCCGATTTTTTGTGAAAACGTGACCGTTTTCTGAATTTGTAGGTAAATTTCAAAAATGAGAACACTTTTTTGAATTTACAAAAATAAAATAAAATGCAAACACTTTTTGAAATTCTTTTTTTAATATCGAACATTTTTTAAAGTAAGCAAATAGGTTTTGAATTTCTGAAAAAATATCGAAAATTCTAAACAAAAGTTGAAAACAAGAACATTTTTTGGAAATTTTATCAAATCTAAAAAATTAAAAATATTTTTTATATCTATGAACATTTTTTGAAAAGGAAAAGTAAACTTGAAAAAAATTAAAAAGGAAAAATAAAAGAAACAGAAAAAATAAAAATCAAATGGGTCGGCCCAGTCGCGGGCGCCCTGTGCGAAGCCCCGACAATTTTCTGCATCGTGCGGCAAATAGGGGTATTGGAGGTCCCGCAGACTAGGAAGTCTCATGATTTTCTATTGAGCGAGGCCACAGAGCCGAACCAAGTAGAATGGGCCGTCTCACTCGCGTCTTCGCCTCCTCCCCGACCCACCGACCCGGCGGCGGCCCCCACCCATTCCGGCGACCGCACCATGGCCCCACGGCCGGAGCTGATGGACGAGCTCGTCGGCGAGGTCCTCCACCTCCTTCCTCCTTCCGAGCCCGAGCACCTCTTCCGCGCCGCCCTCGTCTGCAAGTCGTGGCTCCGCGTCGTCTGCGACCCCTCCTTCCGCCGCCGCTACCGCGCCTTCCACGGAGCCCCTCCCCTCCTCGGCCTCCTCCAGAGGTTCCAGGTCCTCCAAGAAAGGCCCGCGCCCCGCTTCACCTCCACCACGTCGATGCCGGACTTCCCCTACCCGGGCTCCGACGGCCAGGGCAAGCACCCCGTCCCCCTCGACTGCCGCCACGGCCGCGTGCTCATCCACATGGTGCAGGACGAGGGCCTGGTCTTCGTCGTCTCGGACCCCGTCACGGGCGACCGGCACGTCCTACCTGCGCCGGGCATCGTCTGGCTCATCTGCACCGCCGCGGTCTTCTGCGCCGCCGATGGCTGCCAGCATCTCGACTGCCAAGGCGGCCCCTTCCGCGTGGCCTTCCTGGCCACCGACGACGCCGGCCGCCAGGTTAAGGCGAGCGTGTACTCGTCGGTGACAGGCGAGTGGAGTGCGCCAGTGTCTCTTGACGATGGCTGCGACCTGCGAGTGCTACGCCCAGCACATGCGAGACGACATTGCAGAAAACCTCTACCACCTGCCCTATGTCATGCCCCGGCGAATAGCTGTCATTGGAGATGAAGTCTACTTCACACTTCGGTCCGCTCACAAAATCGTCAAGTACAACCTGCCAAACAACTGCCTATCCATGATTAACCCGCCGCCACACACTAGGAGCCCAATTGCTCTCATGGTGATGGAGGACAGTTCGCTGGGGTTTGCCTGCACTGAGAGTTCTACTCTTTATCTGTGGTCAAGGAAGGTGAATTCAGAAGCAGCTGCTGAATGGGTAAAATGCAGGAGCATCGAGCTGGAGACAATTGTGCCCGTCGTGGATCCAGATTACCAACCATTTGTGGTTGGTTCCGCAGAGGGTGTGGGTGTCATCTTCATCAACACAGATGCTGGCTTATTCACTCTAGAGCTCAAGTCAGGGCGAGTCAGGAAGGTTGACGAGCCCGCACACTACTTTAGCGTCCTGCCCTACATGAGGTTCTACACTCCAGGTATTGCTGCTAGACCTTGCTTCTTGTCTATTGTCTTGCATTTTCGTTACGGCTTCTGTATGTTTGCTTATTTAGCTGGTTGTGGTTTGTGAATAATTAGTCGTAATGAAAGTAATATATGTTTGTTATATGTATATTCACATATGAATCTTGCCAAGGACAATTCTCTGTGATAGAGAAAACTTAATATATGACGCTGGAAAACATAATGTGGTTTATGATATGAGATTTTGACATGTGAAGGACCATGACCATGCATTGGTCGAATTGCTAAATATGTACACAATTCACAAACATGTTGGTCTCGTACTATCCTGTTACCTTCCGTCAGACTTTCTTATAAATAACCATCTCTTATTTTGTGGCATAGCTGAAGGTCACATCTCAAACCCAGTGTTGTAACCATTGGAACTGGTGCTAGCATATAGCTCACCAAAGTAAAATGCTGACTTGGAGTTTGTTATGAGTTTTGTACATGATATATTTTATATCATGGCACATTGTTATCGTTAATACGGATTAACTGATCAAAGTGTGCTGCTGGTTTCTTTCAGAGCTGCTACTATTAAGTGTGAAGTCGTTTATTCTCTGTTCAGCAGTTTACTTACAAATTGTGCAAGTCCTTACAATTAATTGATGTTGTCTTGTTGAATTCGTCCTCGTCATAATGTCAAAAGGTTGTATTTCAGATTAATACGTGAGGCATATTTCATCTACTGTTTGCCTAATTCCTGCCTCAGCTACTTGGAACAGAGAAATTATGTGTAATCTATGTCGTCTCCCTTTCATGAAATTTTAGTATAATGTTGATCTTGTCTTTCAAAGGTAGCAGTACCAGACTTCTTGGAAAAACAATTGGTGGGCAAGGAACTTAGTTTCACCACAAAGCGTTTAGCATTTGTAAATAGATTCTAACAGGTGTGGAACTCGGATGTTTTTCACTTTTACTAAAAACTTGGAAATTGATGTTGGGATGTCCTGTCATAAAATAAGTCACCTCTTGTTTCTGTAGCCATTTTCAAATTGTGGACTCGGGTCCGGTATTCTTCTGTGCTATTACATGCAACATTACCCCTGGAATAAAATGTCTCTTTTTTGCTACTGCTGTTGATTGGTCAAATAGTTGGTGAAGCATGAAGTGCATCCTTGGTTCAAATAGAGATTGCTAAGTATTTAGTCAACCTTGGTTAAAAAAGAGATTGCTAATATTTATTCAGCCTTGTTGGTATTGCATTATCACTTTACATTGCTTCACATTTTTCGTTAAGATGCATTAAATTACTTTCTGGTATAGCTGAAGCTCACATGTCCAATGCAGTCTTGTAACCTCTGGAACTAGTTGTACATACAGCCGCACATCAAATTACAAATTCTGAGATGTACAGTTGGTTACGAGTTTTCTGCTTGGTGTTTTTTTTCAGATCGTGGCATATTGTTGGCGCTATCGAAGACCCACTGATCTCTGATGTGCCGCTCAATAGTGATGAATTGCAAATGGGCAAACCCATCATCTTTAGTCTGCTGCCGTCGGCTTCTTCCAAGCTACTAATACCAGGTTGTGTTTTGTTTCTGTTGAGGAGTTTAAGCATGAAGGGTGGAAGTCAATTGTTATGCAGTTTAAGCGTGAATCGTGCAAGCTACCATGTTTGTTGACTGTGGTTCTCATGTCGAATTCGTCCTGACAACGTCAGAGCACGAACTGTATTGCTGTTTAGCATATAGGCGTACTTCTGTTGCTGTTTGCTTAAATGCTTGAGTCAGCTACATGAAACCTAGAAAGCTCTGCGCCATTTCCATTTTCTGGAAAAAAAATGTAATGGCACGCAATGTTTTCCTTGTCTTGGAAAATGCCGTCAACTAGGCACTAGCAGGGCAAGGGTTTTTCCTCGACACAATTGCTCTTCATTCGTTTTGGTAAACAGTGTGGTTCAGAATGCATTGAAATGCGCTCTGGGCTATGCTGATACGCTGAGCACCAACACCACCATGGTGATTTTCAAAAGGGATTTACTTCGCTAGAAGTCAATCGTGTGTTTTGTTGTGTTTCGAGGACATAATAATCAACAGGCTCCATGGGCACTGCCTTCATAATCGTTGCCACAATATGAATGAGCGCTGCAAGGCTCCATGGGCAAAATTTTAAAGAAACCGGTGAAGTGCTCAACTGAAATATAATGCGGAACTAAGAAACTGAGGTACTAGACTGAATGAAACTGAATGACCATATCTACATGTACTCAATCCCACGTAAAGGAAAAATATGATGTGTGGAAATACTGAGAATAAGGCCGTCGCAATGCAAGCTCACAACTGAATAACAAGAAACTGGAATGATGAAAAAATTGACTGTAGAATAAGACAGATACAAACAAACTCTTAGACTGAACAACGATACAAGCTCACAGACTAAGTAGGAACAGAAGCCATGGAGAAACTGTAAGCAACAACACGTAGCTTCCAAACCTTCTTGTGACATCAGTACACACATCTAACATAAACATAAGACGCACAAGAAATGCACCTGAGCAAAGCACCAACACATGAGATCAGCTAACCAAATGTCTTAGAAACCAGTCACACTGCACTCCAATTCCACACACTGTTTGGAGCAGCTGAGCCAACGAGTCTAGTACTCTAGTCCTCACCGGAGTAGTCAGATTCGCTCGGCTCCGACGCATCTTCATCCTCGGACTCATCATCTTCGCTCCCAGAATCCGCGTAGACTACCGTCACCTTCCTCTCCCTTACTGTCCTTCTCGGTGCAACCGGCTCAGCAGAGCTGCCGGAAGGAGGAGCCTCGGCATCTTCTGCCCCTGTTGAAGCGCTCGCCGCTCTCTGCAGAAGCGAGCCGCTCTTCTTGTTGAAGGGGGAGGACCTGATCCTGCGGACCTTCTTCTCAGGGGAAGGAGCGCTGAGGTTGCTGTCATCAGTAGGCTTGAGTATTTCCTCCATCACTTTCTGCTTCATGACTTTGCTCTGAGCCGGCGCCCTCTTCCTGATGGTGGTAGCCTTCGGCTTCTCAGCAGCAGGCTTTCTTCCCTTGGTCTTCTTCTCAAGTTCCATGGAAGACTCCCCACCCTCGCTCTCATGGTGGGGCTCTGCCATGTCTTCGTCATCGGACTCAGCTAGGGATGACATGGCCTTCTTCGCTGCGCCTCTCTTGCTTGGTCCGTTCCTCCCTTTCTTTGCCTTCTGCTGTTCTTCTGTTTCCATGGCTGCACAAGTGATTACGCCATCAGCTTATAAACTTCTAAAATATGGACATCTTATGTTCACAAACGCAACATTATGTCAGTGGCCATTACCACTAGGTTCTGGAGAGGAGTCGTCAAGATTATAAGCGGCCAGACGGTCTTTGAGATGAGCCACTTCGTCGTCCTCTTCATCTTTCACCGGTGCACTTGCCTATGAAATTGTTACATTGACTTGTTATAAAGCAGCAAATAAACTATGCCACGCAGAGTGAGACAAGGTTTGATCGAGGAACCAACCTTCTTGGGTGCTGGTTTCTTCTTTTGCGCTGCAGGTTTCGGATTCGGTGGTTCAAAATCTTCATCGTCGCTCCCAGCCAAATTTGCCTTGAAAATTTTGATTGTTTTATCAGTGAAGGGCAACCAGGTATTGCAACTCAAGAAATGTATCAGTTGTGTTACTCTGTACCTTCTGAGACTTGGCCGCAGCCTTCTTAGGCTGTCTCTTGGGTGCTGCATTAGATTCCTTCGCGTTTTTGGCGCGCTTGCGTGATCTGTCATTCTGCTCAGCTTCAAGTTTTGCATCAAGCACCTGTATCAAAGTCAATGAGTGAGAAGAGCAGTGAAACACATGACGCCGAGCAAAACCTGCTCAAGAGGAAAAAGAAAACATAACAATAGAGAGAAACACTGCTTACATCCAGTTCCTTCTCAAGAGCATCAAGGTCTCTCAGCCAAAGAGTATTTGGCTCTGTATTACTCAGGATATTCAGATCTTCATCTACCTTATCCTGCTGCGCGATGAGCTCCTTCACCTTCTCCATAGTCAAGGTACCAATAGACATTGCGAGAAGATACTCATAATCACTTGCTGCTGCCTCAACAGGACCCTCATCATTTTCTTCATCTACTTCTGTAGATCCTACAGCAACTGGCTCAGCCGTGGGTTTTTTCTTTGGGAAAGGATCATATTTCTTCTGCTTCAGCTCCAGGAATAGCTCTGCCCTCTTCCTGTTATTGACTATGATGTCCCCAGAAATAACAGCAAGAATAAACCTAACTTTGTTCTTATACTTGAGCAACTCAATCCCCATGTTTTCCAACATTACTTTCTGCACAGCATATGTTAGTTAGTTAGTACAGTAGTTTGCAAATGAACAGCCAAAGGAAAAGGTTAATATGTACCTTTCGTCTGACATAGAAGTCGAGCCTCAAATCAAAGAACTCTTTAAGTACTGTAAAGTTAACATAATATCAGGGGCAAAACCACACGAAAAAGGACTTGTAACTATAATACAGGTCCGTGTTGTTAGAGATACTCACCGTCCTCTGGGGTGTCATATTTTCGGATTTTACCATTTGAGTCAAATAAGTGCATGTTTGTTGTTCCTATTGTGGTAGTCAGCTTGAATTTCTTCTCAAGGCCTTCTTGCTTGGCTATATTCATGTTTTGCTCTGTCAGGATAAGCTCAAAATCTACATCCGCATGATCACACTGCGACCTTATTTCCTGTAAATTGATTCAGTTGAAGAAAGTCAAAACATCTGAAACCCCAAGAGAATGAACTATTTGTACTATGAACTACAGTACCTCTAACAATGGTGGTTCCTTGCTCTTTTCCTTCTCCTTTTCCTTGTCCTTATCCTTTTCCTTCTTCTTGTCCTTGTTCTTGTCCTTGCTCTTTTCCTTTTCCTTAATAGGAATAGGACACATGGATTCAAGAAATTCTTTGTAATCTGTAGTCCAGCGGCGGACGGGAAGCTCAGTAATTTTAAGCCTGGTGTCAGCAACTTCCTCTATAACACCAGTGATGGTATATGTCACACCAGTTGCCTTTGAACTTGTCTCCTTCAAAGAGCCCTGTCAGGTGATGAACAAAATTTTGCATCAAAATCATTTGTTGCATTAAAACAGTCAAACCTATGTAACAGAAATATGCTAGTAAAAGCATTGCGCCGACCTTGAACCCCCTGTACCAAGGAACCATTGGTACGATAGTCTCGTTATTTAGCAACCTTTTCAGATTAGCAATAATGTCTCTTGGATTGTAGTTTGGGACATAGGTGCTCCACCCAGTGCCAATGCCTTCACTTCCATTGACCAAAACCATGGGAATGATTGGCATATACCTGAACATAATGTGGCATATTTTAGGTACACAAAAATAAATTGAATTGCAATCATAATTGGCAGGATGAATGTTTGAAGAGATAATATATATATTACCAACTGGGTTCAATTGACTGCCCATCTTCATTCAAATAGTTCAGAAGAACATCATCATCCTTTGGGAAAATTAAGCGGGTGATAGGTTGTAATCTGGTGAAGATGTACCTAGCACTAGCAGCATCTTTGCCCCCCTGAAATGAATGTTAGCAAGCAAAGAAGCATGAGAACCCGTTACAAACAGAGTCATATTGTACTTGGCTTTAACAAAAGCTAACCCACCGCATTCCTGGTACCAAACTGGCCACGGGGCTCCAAAAGATTGATATTATTGCTGCCAACAAAATCCTGAGCCATTCCTATAATTGTGCTTGCTAGACTCTGCTCACCATGGTGGTATGCTGAGTGTTCTGACACATAACCAATAAACTGTGCCACCTGTAGCCAATAAAGGTAACAAATTAAGGAATATGCATGATGATTCCAATACACAAATTCAAAAGCTCTTTGGCGAACCTTTGATTCTTTAACCAAATTCTTCTTGAACGAGCAAAACAAAATCTTCCTCTGTCCTGGTTTAAAGCCATCGACCATTGAAGGTATTGACCGTTCAAGGTCTGCCATCGAGAAGAGAATCAGCTCTTTGTTGATAAAATCACTGTACTTGATGCGTTTCTCCCGTTGGTCAAGGCAAGTTCCAGGCTGCAATATGGTTTGTGTGTTACTATTGATACAGAATAAGGGACTTGTTTCAAACTGGGAAATGATGCAAATATTAAACCTGATAGTTGGTCAGCCAGTCCTTTCTCTCAGCAATCTTTTTCTTGCTGAATGCTAACTCAATAGCCTCACCATCTTCTTTGTCATCTGCCCAGACAAAATCTTTCTTGTGATGGGTAATATCTTCAAAGTAATCCCGACCTTCTTGAGCTGTGCTGGTTCCCAGCCCCTGTACAAGTCAAAACTCTATCAAGACCAAAAATAACTACAGACATCTTTGTTATAGCCCCTTCCAGTAAAAGTAAGGGGGGGAACACCAAATTTGGCGAAACCATGCAAGAACTGAATGAGGGGCAAAAGGCACACCTTGTAGTACTTTAT